AGGCGGGTGCAGAGGGGCGCACAGGGGCTGTTCCCAGCGCTGGTGGAGACAGGTCCGTGGGACGCGCCAGACGAGGGATGCGCCCGGCTGTCACGTAAGTGTCACTCTTGCTTAAACACACCCGGCAGAGACACAAGGGTGCGCGTGCCTGTGGACGTGTGTGCACACACGAGTGAGCACACACAGCACAGTGAACATTAATACACCTGGTATCAGGGTGTATCGTACACGCTAGGAATGCCTTGACTTAGATAAAACAGGGATTTCATGTATTCATATTTATACACCTTTTAAATGCTGTGTTTATACTTTGTGCACCCATCCCCTACATTAAAAATACAAGATAAAATATAAAGGACAGCTCATAACTACTTCTCCAACCCTTGGCTTGCCCCCCTCTCAGACTGGTGGAAAACACACATTGCAGACTTTCTGGTGTGTGTATGGAAAAACATTATAAACCTGTCGTTATGTATTTCCAAGCTGATCTGTTTTACATCAGCTGGCATGAAACTTATATCTCAGCAATTCTATTGTTTAAACTCAGTTTTGGAGGAAAACAGATGTTGTTGGGTTTGGGGTGGGAGACCTTGTTCATTTTCATTTTCACATACAGTGAAGCTGCCCTAGGGTGAAAATACTTTGTAAGATAGAAATGCTCATGGTTGAACTTCTATGGCTAGTACATAGGAACAAAACACACTTTTACTACATGGAAATTCTAAGCTGAGACATAACATTCAAACATTGTGGTTTCTTTCTGCACGAAGTGTAATTTGTCTGTCTTCCACCACGCGTACCCCGTCAGCGGGCCAGTCTGAGAACACAAAAGGTGGTTTGCACGTGGCCTGGCTGTAAGCAGGTAGATCATACACTCCAGTCACGACTCATATGGCCGTGGTTAATCAACCCAGTTGGGACACAATGCAAAGGAAAACGACAGTTTTGTCTTGGAGGCTGCCAAGTTGTTATCAAATGTGGCTCTGGGCTGTTGCAGTTGAGCCGAACAGTTAATCCTTCCGGCATCACGGTACCGCCAGCTGCTGAATCTGCTGGCTTGCTCAGCTGATTGTATT